ACTCTCAGCTCTTGGCTGATACCTGCAAATACAGGAGGTATTGAAGAATTAAAAAATGTATTTTGGAAACTGGATTTTTAATTATCTCCCTAAACCTACTTCTAGAGTCTATGTTCAGCTCAGAACTTACAAACCTGGTATAACTAAAAAGCTTGTTGCTAACTGTAACTTTAAAATTCTGTTTGCTTGGACTCTTGTAAGCAGTGTGAGCTAATTTTCAGGTTGGATAATTACTTTTATCAGAGGGTGATGCAGTAACACAGTGCACTACGTTGCTCAGTCCCTCTAACCTATGTCATACATACTGTTAGTGGCTGGACAAACTCACCATTTGGACCTAGAGGACTGGATTTTCCAGTGGTCTAAAGGTCCTTTGCACATTTGTTTTCCTAATTTCCTGTGAGACTATGTATCTTATTGAAATTACAGCTAAAAGTATTAACAGCACCTTTAGAAGCCAGATGAACTGCCTCACAGCTTTTGTTTTATTAATTTAAACAGTGCAACATTAAACATTAAATTGATATGTGTCACTTGCTAGGTCTGCAAACAAACTGCAAATTAATACTTGTAGATAATCTAACAATACAGGAACATATGACCAGGTTTTCACAAGAGGGAAAATATTTTACTTCAATGTTACCATGGAATACCATTGCAGAGTTACAACCCTGTGCCATTTCCTACACGCTAGCTGCGTGCTTACCTATGGTTAAGTGAATAGCTTGTAATTGGTGTCAAGATACAAGTGATATGGAAACTTTATAAATATTGTCATTTACTGCAACTACTAGCAATCAACTAAATATTCTTCTGATCTCCTAAAGGTGGCCCTTCCAGATATGTGTGGATGCTTACAGCCAGAGCAGAGCTTTCCAAGGGCTAGCAGGACAGAGTCTGCAATGGACTCAATGGGTTTAAGACATGAAATAGTGACCAGGAGGGAAGAGAGCAGAACCTTGTCCTGCCAGAACCTCTTCTGTGGATGGAGAATCCCTGTCTTGTAAACATTTCATTGGGTACATTTCACCAATGCTCACTATGGTTAAAGCCTAGTGGAAATAATTACATGTGGTGAGCAGGGCATCAGAATGGAAAATACAGCATAACAAACCACCTGAAAACTTCCAAACCGATGGCATAATCTACCAATCTGTGCTACCCTGTGCTCTTTGTCACACAAAAAGCGACTGGCAGAGGTCCAGCCACTCTACCCTTTCTATTCCAAAAAAGCATTTATGGCTAATGGCCACAAATGTAATATGAAGAAGACAAGCACAAGGGTGCACAGTGGGTTAACTCAGAGCAACAGGTAGAGAATCATCTTTATTGTTCAATGCACTTGCTCATCTCTTCCACTCAGGCTCCAGCAGCACAGAGAAACAAACTGCTTCAGTCTTGAAAGAAGAACATATGGAAGCTCACTAGTCACTAGAGAAAGATCTTTCAGTGGTTACTAACAGAGCTGCACAAAGGAAAGAAATGAATTTCTAGTCACAATATTTACATTTCAATCAAAAATACAGGCATTTTTAAGTAGGCAAACCCAGCTGTTCATTTAATACCACATTTATAATGGAACATGGTTTTACAACATCATCATCAACATCATCATCATTCACTTTGAAGCCATTAGGCAGGTCTGCAACATGAGGTTTTTCAGGAATCCTACAGCAACACATACACACAAACACACACAAATCACATGTAAGAAGTAGCTTGCATAAGGTGAGTAAGGTTAATGGCAAAAGCTTCTTTCTATGCAGAAGAAATTGAACATTAAAGCTGCAGCGTTAGGAAAAAAAAAAGTTTAAAAATAAGAAATGAAGTTGTACAAAAGATGAGAACTTAATGAAATTGGTGACCTTTCCACACAGATGAAGTCAGGTTAAAAAAAACCAAACCAAACCAAACCAAAACCAAAGGGACCAAATGAGACCAAAAGAGAACCTCCCCCCAACACACATACAGACAAAAGTGAGAGCACAACAAAGGAAGTGGAAGAAAAGTGTTACCCATAAGTAGCCGCCGTTTCACCCGCTTGTCCACATCAGCTACTGACGTGGCATTGTACTCAGAACTCTCAATTGCAGCCTCATCCTTCTCTAAAACACAAGTAAGGGACAAACATGGAGCAGTTGGTTAATCACAAGCCCAATTTTCCGCTGCCTAAGATAGTTTCTTGGCATGGCACAGCCAAAGCCAAGAAGCAAGGCATGAAAGCACTAAATCCCCGTTAGAGAGTTAATTCCCTTTGAGATCCCAGGAAAAAATTAAAGGGTATTTAGGGAAGGGAGGAAGAAAAGAGGGGGAGAAGGAATAATGGTCAACTATGAAGTAATTAACCACATACAGGAAGCTGGATTCCTACTGGAGAACAAGACAGCTAACATGAGTGCCCCAGAGAGGTGTTAATGATGAAAATTAAAATTCAGGGATGCTAGTTAAACCAACTACCAAAGACAAACTGCAAAGTGATTCAGGCTAATGGTGGCACCAGGATCTGAAGGTGGTAGACAGAAGACAGAGAGAACTAGAGGAGTCCGGTGATGGATGGGCACGGATGCACCATGGTCTCGTACACATTGACACATCGTGAGGAGAAACCAAACAACAGCATGCAAATTAAACAAAAACAACAACAAAAATAAACAAACAACAAACCAAACAAACACAAAAAAAGATCAATTTGGGCAGTGCTGGTTGCCTGCTTGTCTATGGAACACTACTAGCTAAACATTCAATGCTAGGAAAGATGCTGCAAGAACAGGGTTTAGTAATTTTATAAAGCATGCAGTAAGCGAGATGATGTCAGCAAAGGTGGTTTTACAAGGTAGTCTCTGATATCCTACATGTAAGAGCTTCATACAGCATATGAGGACTTTAGTTTGGTTATGCTTTGTTAGAAATACACAAAAACAGTCACAGGTGTGGGAAGAGATCATCAGTAAGTGAAATAAAAATAAAGATTTCTGACACAGGAAAGCAATGGAGAAGCAGCAGCTGGGTAAATAAAATGATTTATACAGAGAGGGAAATGCTTATTAGGAAAACAAAAACTAAAGAGCAGGTGGGGACTTCCACATGCAGCAAACATAAAAAATAAAGGGATAAGTCAAGCAAACAAAGACAAAATATGTTAGACAAAGGGTCAACAAGTATTTCTCTGGCATTGCAGAAGTTTGCATTCTTGCAGTGATGCCTGGAACATGTACACCACTGAAGACAGCAAACACTGGAATCACTGAAGTGAGGAGGAGGAGGAGGCTGGCAGGTTTTGTTTGTGGCAACACTACATGGTTGAGTGGTAGCAAGAAGTTGTTTTGTTTTGTTTTTAACAAGTTCTAGATGGGATCAGGCTGCAATAGAGGCTTTTGTTTGAGTTTTTTTATTTTGCTCTGTAAATAATTAATGAACGTCAGTTATCAGACAAGACAGGCAATCAGGAACCATCACCAGAAAGCAGGAATAAAAATGTAAAAAATAAATAAATAAAAGTTTAAAAGTATTCTAAGAGGAAGAACTACTTAGGAGGAAGAAAATCAGCACAGGCAGTAATATGTGACTTACACCACAAGACCAAGGAATGTAAATGGAGTTGTATGTATTACATTACAAAAATGGGAAAAAAAAAAAAGAAAATAACAAGTGCAGTGTACACAGCTTTTAAAATCAGTTTACATGCTGAACAAAAGAAAACATCAATCCAAGGATATCAGTGAATGCTAATAAACAGAAGATCAATTATTCATTCAATAAAACCTGCTCTCAAGGCTTTCACTCCTGTGAATTCTCTGCATCTGGAACTGCCACAGGCTTCAAGGACAGTTATTTAAGCAGAGGGGCTGTATGACAGCTGTATGACTAGCTAAGAGATCCTGTAAGCTGAGACAAACCTTGAAACCTTGTGTACACAGTGAGGCAGAGTCCAGCGCTGAACTTTGTTCAGCTCTGCCTCTGCCAGGAGAACCCTCACCCTACCACACAATTTGTGCACTCAGACCCATCAGAAGTGAGTGACACACTGGGTAGCCACGAGTTTTATGCCATGGATCTCACCAAGGGATCAGTAAAAACTTCCATGGGTTTCAAGGGCTTTGTCTTGCAGTATTGATAAAAGAGAGAAAAGATGATAAATACATGTCCATGCTTTTTTCACCTTAGGAAATTACTAGGAATTTATGCCAATTTGAAATAAAACAAAAAAAAACCCAACAAACAACACCCCCAAAAACCAAACAAACAAAAAAGGCAACATGACCACAATGCTAATAAAACCACTATGGATTTTATGTTCTGATGTATGAGTAAGATTTCCCAAATTTTAATTTGCAGTACACAAAAATATCCTCTAGGAAAACAAAAAAAAAAAAATAAAAAATTGAAAGCAGATTAGAAAGAACTGGTGTTAAGCAAATAATGCATTTTATAATCATAAATGTTTGCACAGCATCTTCCAAGATGCTCCACCTCTTTAACGCTTTTGTCCTAATGATATTCTGAGTGAAAGCTTATTCACTACATGTGCTGTAATTTTTAGAAACATAAGGTATATAACAAGGAAGAAAGCTCATAATGATTAATTTTCCCCAGTAACAGCTTAGAAAAGAGGATCATTTTCCTCACCTTGCTTGTGCAAGGAAGTCTTGACTCATGAAAGTGAAAGGAAGAGCTGAACTTTGATTCATCATTATGAATGTTCTACACCTTTTTACTTCAAAAATCGTTAGAGTTATGAAAAGAAATAAAAATTACACAGGAGTAACAAACGAATACTTCATTAACAAATGTTTTGACAAAACATGCACAAATGCCCCTCTCTCTGTATAGCTTGACCTTAGCTACTACAGCCAGAAACTGCTGTTGGACACTTTTCTCAGCAATGGTGCTAGAGGCCTGTGAGATACAAACACACACGCGCACACATACACACATACATATGTGCACATATATATTCTATGAGGAATACAAAAGAAAACTCATGACAGAGAAGTACTTACCAATGCAGGTTCGGCCATCTGAATGTAGGGCATACTTCTGATGACAACCACACACAGGACCAGTATCTGTGTCATCACAGGTGTGTTGGCAGCCTCCATTCCCATAGTTACAGGTTACTAGTTAAGCCCCAAATGAATGTGTATATATATATATATATAAATAAAATGACAATGAAACCAATTAGTCTTGAGGGCCTTTCAGAATACAGAAAAAGCAGTAACATACCAAGACATAAGGCAAGATAACATTTGTATTTGCAGTTATTTGCATTTCTTATTCTTTCTGCCTCTTTTTTCCCTCCTTATCTTAGTCATGCTCCTCTCATACCCTGCTTTCAGTCCATGCAGTGAAGAATAAAAGAGAAAGGAAAAAAAAGAAGCAGCATGTATTCATAATGCTTCATATTTGTATTCATAATTTTAGTATGAGTGATTAGCCAACTCCATCCTTTCATAAAAGCTATATGCTTTATATCCATGATGTAAATGGCATGAAGAAATGAGTGGTTTACTAATATGGATGTGTATTTTCAAGTCTGTAGACAGCATTTCTCTTTTCCTTCCCCTTCATTTTCTAAGTGGAGTAAGCAGAGACCAAACAGCAAAACCAGAACCCCGTAAGTCTTGAAAACCATTTTTGCACGTACTGGTCTTCTTAAAGCACAAGATTGTTTAAATATAAAACAAGGAAATGTGGTTTGGTTTTTTTGTTGTTGTTGTGGTTTGTTTTGTTTTCTTCTGTGAAACAAAAAATACATGGTTGTTATGGCCCTGTAGTGCACTGGCCTCAACTAGGAAAGAAACACTGGAGACGTCACTTTAACTTCCAAGTGTACAGTGCAAAATGGCTTAGAGCAATTGAAACATCCTCTAGTGAAAAAAATACTAAAAATACATTAAAGTAAACATTTTTCATGACAGGTAGAGTTTTAAAGTTTACATGAACTATCAGATCAGATAGAGTTTCCTTTGTCACATAATGGATTTAATTTCTGACTAATGAGACAAACCAGTTTTTAAATATTAAGCTGGCTAGTGACATAAACAGTGCCTCTCATTTGCCCCTGTTCCATTTGATCGTTTGTAGTTATATAGCTTAATGCTGAACAGCACAATTCTGATTTGGTTGAATTCTGAACTCAACTGACTGTCTTTACACACAGGTAATTCGGACCAAGTTCTTTATTGGTATAGGCATACTGGCAGATACAGGAGAAATCCAATTATTCAGTTGAATCATACTCATAATTTCAGAGGACATAATTTCAAAACTTAAATGTTTTTAAATGTTACAGTAATTTAAATACTGACTCCTACTAATCAGAAGGAACCTGCTCACATTGGTCTTAACAGAATTTCCCTTCTAGATAAGAGACTATTAAAAGAGTCAGGGTAGTATATTGCAAAATAGAATAAAACTAAGACGACAGTTAACAGGATTTTAAAACCATATATCTAGGTTCTATCTAGTCCAATAGGGCCAAGCTCATATAATTGCCCACCGACCTCAGTGTCTCGGTTTTACCACTAGCTTCTTAAAATGGGAGTGGACTGGAATTTGCAGTCACACTAACTAGCTCTTAAATATCCCACCTCTGGTGTGAGTGTCCCAGTGCTGAATAGCCATACCACTCACAGTAATCACTGAAGTGTTTAGCTTAAAATGGATCAGTTCTAAGAAAAGCAACTGAGGGAGACCCATCACAGCATACCCAACAGATTTCCCACTAAAACCTCCTGCCAGTGTGGGAACTGCATTTTACACCCGCAGCCCCTGAAGTCTGGCAGAGATCACAACGGGACTCGCTCATCTCCAAAGTGAGTACAGACCAGAGCCCACTACAGGTGCAAGCACCATTGGTCCTTCACATTGCACGCTTTGAATAAAATCTTTGCGTTATTCAGAGATTGAGAAGGAACAGTCCTGTGGCCTAGTGGTAAGAACATTCCCCAGGAAGAGCGCCTGCCTGGATTCCAACCTGTCCTCCAACTGTTCTATCCAATTGGAAAGAATGCCAGTGAGTAAGATGGAGAGCAGCCTGATCCACACTCCCCTCTTGGAGCAAGACAGCTAGGGCCCTAGGCTGGAAAATGGGAATTGAGGGTTTAGTTTCACCAGACAGAGGAGGCAATTGAATTCATCCCCCAAATCATAAGAATCCTAAACTTCCAAGATACTACATTAAAAAAGCCCCTTAAACAACCACCCTCAGGCATTCTTTTTCCTTCTCTAGTTATATAACTTAAATATTAATTTGTTTTTGTGAAAAAATATATGAAGCAAACCATATTTGTGAAAAAATATATGAAGCAACCATCCATACGAAGCAAACCATTCTGCTTTGCATCAAATGGAAGCAACATTTCATTTCCTTCAGCACACAATAATATTTTAGCTTTTACTTTTTGATGCAAAACAAACGAATTAAAATTTTATGTCAATTCTCCATTCTTAAACCTCTTACTCCAGGGAGGTGTTCACTCAGGCTGAAAAATAATTCTTTTGCTCAACACTAAGCCTGATCTTATTAGCTTCTTTTTTTCCCCATTCTTTGTCTTGCAATTTTGGGGGTTAATCTTTTCCTTGTGGCTCTTTTTCTATGCCATGTTATATGTCCAGCAGTTACTTTTTGGTTAATCTGGAGGCAGATGAAATACTGGTTTGCAGCTTAGCTGAGAATTGAAGGAATAGACAGGGGTTGTTTGAATTGGCTGGGTGTAGCCTGATGGCAAACATGAGCTCTCTTCTGCCAACTATGCCTGGGATGTGATCAAGCAGGGGCAGTAAGTGGTACAGAAAGCAGCTGCTTACAATATCCACAGTACTGGGAAGAACTAATCCAGGATACAGTAATTTCTCCTAACCTATCCTCCCCTACTTCTTGACCCCGTGTGGCTCTTGGACTATGTGGAGGTTCATTCAATGTTTCTACTCCTGTTGGACTGCAGTGCCATCACAAATTAACTTAAAGATGTTGTTTATGCAAGATGTTTAAATACATTTCTAGCCAACAGTATTTTTATTGTGGATTTTAAAGTGCAATCAGCAACAAAGTGAGTCTTTTAAATAACTAGACTGCAGTGGTTATTTTTGGCATTCCTTGCTGAAAGCCTCTGCTGGCAGAGATGAAAATACCTTAAGACGGTCACTCCTATCCACATAATATGAGGGACTTTTCCTTACTATATTTGTCTATAAAAATCACACTAGATTGATGCGGTTTATAGTAAATCCTGCAGAATCACACACTCCTTTTACAGTTTCGTACACTAAAGTTGCTGGTTCCTGTTATATACCTAGTCAATGAACACAGACGTAGGTCAGTTCCTTTTCCTGTCTCATACGAATATTAGTAAATCACGTTTTTGAAGGATTTGAATTACTGTCTAGACTACAATTTATTTATTTTAAGCAACTTGAGCCAAAATTCTGAAGCTTGACAGCTCTGCAGGTTAAATTGGTACAAAATCCAGTTGTGAAATATGTCATTTCAATTTTCTTCCAGTCTCAATTCTGTGGCAGTTGTTACATAGTGAGTAGTTTCTCTTAGAGGAAGAAAACCAAAATTATTCAGAAGCAAAGGGACATCCAGATCTACTCCATTTTTGTCAGAAAGCATTAAAGTAATGAAAAAACTCAGTGTTCTTTTAAAAATTATTTCTGATAAATTTGGACTCTACAGCTTTGCAGAAGGCTGTGTGCTCATTCAGAGTCTGTGACATTAAAGGGGCAAATAAAAAGAGGCAAAATGGTAGATTCTGACACACTTCATCTTCAACTATTATAAATCATTTTATAATGAAGGAGATGGAAAATACTACTTTTTTTTCCCAACAAAGGAGAATATATATGTATCTGTTAGAACTCAGATATACTTATCCCCAACATAGCAGACTTAAAAACAGAATAAGACTATTGCTTTTGACACTGCTTCAGCATTAGTGCATGTCTTAAGCGCAATCAAAATTCTGGGCTCTTCCCCATACTGGGAGAAATACCACTGTAAAACTGGCTAAAACCAATGTCTCATAGAAAAGGCTTTGCTTGTGTTGCCTACAAACGTGAGTAGGAACAGCACATAAGCCCTACAAAGATGCATACCAGCTGTGTAATGCTGGTGGCCAAGTTACCAGTGTGTTTTCCCAGCACTGCTTCTGCTATGAATGAAGAGCTATGGGGGGATCACCCTGAGCTGAATCCCTAACACTGGTGCTTCAAAGCATCTTCAGACTGGATTAATTCTTTTCATTGACTACAATGCTGAGGCTCTTGAACTGGAGAGCTCCCTTTCAGGGCCTGCAGGCTGGCAGCATGGCATGATCTCCCTAACTGTCCACCTGCTCATCATGTAAGCAGCAGCATCTATACAATTTCACTGGGCTGAGCTAAACACTCCTAAGAGACAGCTTTGCATGTGGGCCAGCGCTTACATCCATAGAAATAAAATGACTAATCTTGAAATGACATTTTGCTGATGAAAGACAAGAAACAACTGTCTGGAAAACGAATGACATCTCAAAGAACAAAATCAATTTTAATGTAAGTATTCCACTAAATAATTATAGTGATACTCCAGAAGATAGAAAATACCAGAATTCAGCCTCACTCTGCAGCCTAAATCCTGCTGTCAGTGTTTCTCTCAACTTTCATATAATCCTTTTTCTGGTTTCTTCCATCCCACATGCCCATGAGAAGGAGTATTTGAAAACATATGGCCAATTATTAAATCCAGTATGTAGTAGCCACCAACTCAAAAATCCTCTAAAAATGATGTCCTGATCTTGTCTGCATGTGAACTGAAACATGTACTGTGGCTCAGATGCCACAGAATTTGCAACAAGACAGATCTTTTGGTTTTGTAGCATGGCTTTCTGCTATGGCTTAAACCAGCACATTGTAATTCCAGAGAAATTTAAAACTGCACTACTTTTTTTATTAAATAGGATTAAATATATAATTTATATAAATATATAGGCATTTATTTCTATGTTATAAAGCTGTGCACACAATATTGATTGCATTATTCATTCTACTATGGCCTTACATTCTTAACATTCTGGAGACCTTCATTCTGAGAGCAAATAGTTGCATGAGAACACTGCCAGCAGGAGCTGAAAAGCTGCCACTTGGCATAGGTGGGACAGAATTTTACTATAAACATCCTTGTCAGGACTTTTAGAATTGCTTAGCACTAGCCCTCCTGCTCATTTGTACCATCATTATTGGAGGGGTAAGATAGAAATAGTTGTAGTTAAGCTTATATAGCATTTTGATTAAAAGATTCAGCTTTTACTTGTTTATAACTCTTTTAGGCTGCAATTTGCAGGTATGTGTATCTACTTTAGCTTTCCCCTTTTTCATTTTTCAGCTAAACTGGTCCAGCTAACACTGAGATTAACAAAAAATGTCTTGGTTTTGTCTTGGCTTGTTTATGTTTGGGGAAAAAAAAATCAGTGTATCAAAAAATTTCTAATGCAATCATGCTCAGGGGTGGGATCTGAAAATCTTATACAGATATAGAAAAAAAAGCTCATTTCCCCTGTTTTTCCACTATAATCTGGAACCAAATTCACTATGCCTAAGTCTGTTGTTTCTGCTGCCAGCAAATATCTATGAAAATCACTGGCAAAGCATATTCTCCTAATGGCTTGTGTACACAGAAGATGGTGGTTTGCCACTACTTTTGATCTAAAAGATGCAGCTCTTCTCAGGAACTGTGTATGGATCTATATGATTCTGCTTGGTGTATTTCTAGATGACCTCTTGAGGTCCTTTCCAGCCTCAATGCTTTTGTTTTCCTGGCATGTTGGGCCATGTGAGGGTGCATATTTAAAAATTACACTAAGAAACCTTTAAGGCTGAAAAATTAAGCACTCAAAAGCTACAAAATACCAGACTTTTAGTACACAGACTTATTGTACCAGGATAACCAACCTTAATGACAAATGCAGAAAATACTCCTATCATAGTGCAGGAGTTGGGTAATGTCAGGTCTGTGGAAACAGGTGGAGCATCTTGTCTCACTTGCTACAGAATGAGTAGCAAATCAGAAAGGGACTGCCAAGAATGCATGCGCTTGTTCAGACACTGAACACAGCCATAAAAACTCTTACACAGTTTTGCCCTGCTACAGAATTACTATTTAGGGCTTGGCAAGTCACTTGAATCCCATCTATTACAGGTTACTAATATTATACTCCTTTCTTCATGGCATTTGCAACTACAGCTGGAGCTACTGGGAGCTTGGCTTTGATCATACTAAAGTGCTATAAATGCTGAGCTGGGTTCTGAGTGTTTCTCATTAATGATTTATCACTACTAAATGACTTTGACATTAACATCTTTATATTCATTTTCCATTTATAAGACAGGAAAACTAATACTTTTTAACTTGACAAGAATGTTCTGAAAATACATTACCAATGCCTACAAAGCACTTTGATATTAATGAGTATCACGGGAAAATCCAGGAGGAAATTTAAACTTTTATGTTCACAATAGGGTTTAAATTCTGTGCAGCAGGAAAGGCATGACACTGAATTATGGAGAGGAAGCTAATGAACAAAAGCCTGTTTAATGAGCACTGACCATGGTATATAGTGAAGGAAGCAAGACACCAATAGTTACCGCCTTATTAGCATGCAATGATATGATCGGGTGATGTGGGATCATGTAATTAGGATGTAATCATAGAATCATAGAATAGTTAGGGTTGGAAAAGACCTTAAGATCATCGACAATCTTGTAATGCATGCATAAAAAGTAGGGAGTCTCCCTCCAATTTTTCATGCTTTCTAACTAAAATTAACATATTTTTTTCCTCTCAGGAACACGTCTTATTACTAGTGAACTTGGGCCAATACATCTGAAAACCTCACCCAGTATTCTGATTCAGTTGCAAACTGCCTGATAAAAATTCACTAGTGAGGTATTGGTTTTTTGCCACTTGTTCACATGAGAAAACAGAGAAGCAAGCTGTGACAAACCCTTAAAGGCAGAGTCTCCTGGAAGGACTATGACAGATCAGAAAAATTGAGAGGGATACAGGGATACTGATATATCAAATCCTACCAGTCCCTGGTATACAGGGCTACAGACCTAGTCCAGGCTGACAAAGGGCAAGTGACTCTTCAGCTCTCTGGCACAGTTCTACTCAGTCTTTACAAAGCTGCAGCTCAAGATTTAAGCCAATTCCACTGAAACAGTTAGCTGTGAAAAAGCTTTTTTTTAAAAGTGAAGATTTTGTTTCAGAACTAGACCTTTCTAAATAGCCTGCTGTAATCTCACAATTATCGTCCCAGGCTATTTGGCTACAGCGTTCTACTTCTTTGCATTTGGGAGGGCTAGAAGCACGTTTATTTTAAATAAGACTATGGAACATATTTGTGAATGTGCTGTGGGTTTAGGTGTACTTTGCAGCAAGCTCTGCAGCCTTGAAAAACTCACCATCCCCACTTACAGGTCTGCCAGCAAAAGTTCATTATACTTCCACTATAATTTAAACACCACAGGGCACAGGATAAATTCAAGTTTTTCATTCTATTAAACCTTGAGGCATTTAGAAACATTGTTCTAGGAAAAACTCTAATCCTCCTGCCACCATCTCATTATGAAAAAGGGTGATATAATTCCTAAGGAATGTATGAGTTTGTGGAAACAAATAATAAACAACATAAATAAACATCCTCTCCCACTTTACCAATACAGCTGATGTTGCACTGCAATTAACAGCACACAATGTTCATTTCTAATAAACACTGAGAATGAAAATTACCATGAAGGCAATTTTTCTCTGTGCTTTTGCCTTTGGCCTTGTGTAGCCTCTTAAAACCGAGGAGCAATCAGTCTATACAATATCCTGTGGCATTTCTTGATAATACTCAGAGATGATTCTTTTGACCTTGTACTCGGGAACTAATATCACCTAAGCGTGTTTACACAGATCTAATGAATTAAAAAACTGAAGTGGAAGAAAAACTATCACAAAAATACTGGCCCTATGGAAAGCACAAAACATGTTTCATGTCATTTAATGCACTTCCTTTTTTTCTTTTTTTTTTTTTGTCTCTCTCAAAGCTACCAAGCAGGAAAGCAAGATATCAGGAGTCAGATCTAACACTCACTGAAGCCATGAGAAAGACATGCTTCTTCCTTTGTAATCAGTGCTAAGTCACGGAGAGTCAATTATTTTAACCTGCATAAAACAATTTCCAATTTTGTGGGCTAATGAGTACCTACAACTTCATCATCCCAGCTTTGAGTATGCATCACTCAGGGTTTTCCTTTGAAGACACAGCTGCCTGTTTTCCAAGTAATAAAAAAAAAAAAAAGTAGTCTGTGGGCAGCAGAATCAGGACTAGAGCAAACATTTCTAGTCTTTAAAAAAGAGGAATTCACATTCTTAATTTGATAGCTTTAGTGGGTTTATCATTAGATCCATTACTAGATTTATCAATGGATCTCTTATGGTGGACCTTCAAAATACTGCAAGCCAGAATCCTCTATGCTTTATTTATTTTATTTTTACAAGGAAAGCCTGGCTCCCCTCACTTTTCTGCATTGATAGGAAGGTAGAAAAGTTGCTACCATTGCCAACAGAGTCACAGCCAACATTCTATTATTCAGTCCCTCTTATCCATCCCAAGTGCACTTTCTACAGCAAACCCACACTACTAAAATTACAAATCACCTTTGGCCAAAACAAAGTTGATTTCTTGTTTCTGAAAAATAACAACAATGAAGAAAATAAGACATTTTGAGGCATTTGAAATTTAATCTTCATCTACCTACATTTGCAGTCCTTCTGGTTTTTGGCAAGTTCAAAGCCAGGCCTACATTCACAGGCAACCCCACCTTTGGGTGTCTCCCGGCAGATGTGTGCACACCCATGATCTTTATTCATACAGTTCATACCCTCTGTAAGAAAAAAGGAAAGAGAAATGGAAAACATCAGTACTGAAATAAAATTATAAAATAATTATACGCATCCAGTTCTCCAGTAATTTTAATTGTAATTTTTATTTTGCCTCTGGACTGTGTTTCACAAGCCAAAAGAATGAAGCTGAAAAAAGGTATACAATCAACAAAACAGTGTAATAAAGGACAAAACTCCTCCGGGGCAAATGCAGTGAGTACTACTGTGGAATATAGAGTGCCTCTGTTGCTTATATGAACCCCCTATCCCATATCCATATTCTAATCTTTCACCAAAACTTCATGGATTTAAAGGATACTCCAGGAAGTTATCTGTCCCACAGGTAATTACCAGAGTTAAATAACTGGCCTCACTGTTATTTTTACCTTGTATAAATTTAATCATTACTGTCTGGCACATTTTCATCTGTCTGTTAATGTGTTTTATATTTTCTAATACACAGAATCTACCAAAGATCACATCCTAGCACTTTTGCTTGGATCTGTTTCTTTGCTATTTGTTATACATCTCAATTATCTGTGTCATCCACTGTTGGTGTAGCCCATCTCCAACAAACCTACTACCACTTTTCTCTTTCAGTATATTAAACAAAGTGTAAGAGCTGTTCAACAAACATCCAAGTGCAATAGGTGGATTCCTGTTACTGTTTATGCCAAGGCATAGTATCAACCAGGTCTCTCTTAATCATTATAAGGCTAATTTTAGCTTTCCAAACCATGTAAGTGATTTAGATACTGAATGCGCCTTATGCTCTTGGACACTTTCATTAATGAGTTAATTCAAACCCCACATATTCACAGAAATCTTGAACTCAGTCCTTATGGGTCAGCATCTAGCACTCCTTGTGTGAACGAAGGCAAGCCAGATTTGCATTACAAAGCCCTTCTCAGACTTCCCTTTGGATATCTGACCTGGAAAGGAGAGACAAATTTTCTGAGAGTACACTGACAGAGAATTCAGTGTAACTTGGCTTACTACTGTGAAAACAGTGTGTATTCTCCAAAATGTTGGTGCATGCAACATCACTATGGACTCACCAACTCATTTGTCACTTTGGAACATGGCTACTGTTACCTATTCTGGGATAATTTCCCAAAACAGCTCCAGTGTAGAATATTCAACTTAAACCTACAGTGACAATGAACTGTAAAGAAATGTTTTCTTCAGGGCTGTTGCAAAGGTTTTGCTTCCAAAGGTAAAAACAATCACTGCCATCCCTTTTTATTCTTACACAAACAGAAACATACCTGCCACCCTGGCATCTACACAAACTGCCTTTAGGCTGAAGCTGGTCTCACACTGAGCAAAAGTTTCTCTGGATACAAAATCATTTTTAATTGAACACAAGTTAGTGCATAAATCAGCTACTAAGAAACTTTGGGTAGAAACTTCTGAGGATGAAATGCCACAGAAAGTCAGCCAGGGATTCCCTCAGGTTGACAGAAGCTAAGAGCTTCAGGAGTTATTTGCACTGCTCAACTTACCTCAGAAAGGTTTATATTAGCAAAGCAATGAAAAACACGCATTACCAAGGTATTTTTGCTCATTTCTCCTACCAAAAATATCAGGATCTCAAATCTCACTGCCTTTGAAAACCAGTATTATACTGGCTGTCTAAACACATACATGTCTGTCTTCTAAATTCTCCTCTTTATTGGCCTTGATGAGTTTAAAAATTTGCCAAAGCACAAAATAACATTACTCTCTGTAAACTGCAGCATGAACAACAGATGTTATTGGAAGATACAATACATACTACACACTATAAACTATACACTATACCATAGATCGAAGTGAGGTACGAATGTTTTGTTTGCCGGAACAGATATAAGAAACCTGGGAACAGCCTTATTGAATGTTTTTGAGGCATTTTATAATCTCTTTCTCTCCACTTCTCCCAACAAAGGATTTCAGACACAATGTGTTTGACAAACTGCATTCCTGCACACTACACCATGTTCAGAAAAGGATCTGGGAAAGATAACACATGGCTGATTGAGTCACACTGCTGAGGTAATGAGAAGAGAGGAATTAGATGAAAGAAGATATTTAAAGGCCCAGAAGTGTAATGAAGCAAGTGATTTTCAGTATTTACTTAAAGATACTGAATATCTGCCATTGTTAAAATCACTTGGAAGACAGAATCTGCACACTGCTAAAAATATCAGGGGAAATCAAAGATCACAATTACCGCATTTTGAAGCAAAAGTTGAAGATAAAGCAGAATATTAAGCTGGTATTTGTGTGTAAGAGCACAGTATTTCAGTTGCAGTATTAATCATCTCAGTTATTGTATTCATTAAGCAGTTGGAGCTGTAGAAAAAATATTTGAGTTCCATGTTTAGCTGCAGAAGAACACCACAAAAATCTCCTACACTTGAAAACCATTATTTCAGTAAACATCAGTTTTCTGATGAAATTAAAGACCATTATTTATCAGACAAGAGCAGGAGCTCATCCACAACAAAACTTCTCATTTTTATTTTAGTATTTTTTTCCAAACCCTAAGAATTAAAAAAAAAAAAAAAAATCCTGAACAAAATTTTGCTTAAGCCTGAAAAAATATTTAGATAAAAATGCAGCAAATACCTATTTTAGCTTGTTTAAAAATGTTTAAAAACAAACTTGTGCTAATTTGCAAATAGTTTTAATAATTTGAAATTTTAATTTTTCAGCAAATGCAACAGTTGGCCAGACATCCATGTATCAATCTACATATATAAAGGATTTATGAATAATATACTTTTTTTGCAAGCTGTCTGTTCAGATAATACTGAACCTTTTATGATATATATAAATAGGAGAGACAAATACTCCTAAAATTATTTTTTTCAGTAGTCTCTTTAGTAGGATATGGTCCAAAATGGCACAATCAAAGCCAAACAGATTGATTTGTAGAAATAACTAAAAAACCAGTAATTCAAGTAAAAAAAACCACGATCATGGAAAAATTGTTTGGGATTCTTCTGCTCATTTAAATATGTTTGAAGTTTTTCTCTTAATCACCATAAGACCCAGTTCAGCAGAGGGGCCCCAGCACCAAGAGGACTGCCCTGTGTTTCACATGTTGCTCCTTCCTAGAGCTGACCAATGTAATGCAGAACCAGGGAAGAGAGGGGAAGCTCAGCCTGCACAAAATATCAGGCAATGGATCTTCCATCTGAGACTCAGCCAGGAACTATTTGCAGAACTACAATTTTTACTGCACTGACTTGTGGCCCCCACTCTCTCTCACATCGTGAGTGCAATGACATCACCCTGGGTCTGAACACAAGAAATTGCCCCTAGCTGCTTCTCTTGATTTTTGCAGTGGTATGTGTGTCCCAGCTTCTAGAACTGATGTGGCTATGAATCAAATGAAAACCATAGTTCCTAAATCAAGGGAAATACTAAATGTTGTTAAAAGTGAACTCTGTGCACCAAAAAATCCTTACTTCATTGTCATGACACTAAAGTGTCCAGCGTTTAAAGGTTCTAGGTTTTTTATGTTAGCTGTTAAGAAAAGCAGTATCTTAAATCTATATGCTGCTACTCAAGGTAGTCTCTAAGGCCAGCACAAAAATGGTTGCATATTCTCTTTGGCAGTGCTGGCAGGCAGCAAAAGAAACTTTTCAAACACAGACGCATTCTCAGCAAATTCACCTAATAAAAAGAGAGCAAACCAGAATCCAATGGAAAATATAAACAGAAAGAGAAATGCCACTTAAGGAAAACACTAATCTAATTAACTTAAATCCTCTCTCAGTGTTTTAGATATGACTTGAGAAACTCTCTCCTATTGCATTCCTGGATTTTCTCTTACTTTCACTTACAAAAGATTGTTCATGGGAGAATGGCAGACATTGTTACATGACCCACAATTCACATTCATTTTTGTTCCTGGGCTAGAAGAGATTTGGGTGTAAGTCTACCACATTAGCCCAGTCTGCCATCTAGTTATCAGAAATCTCTTAATAGTGCTGTTCTGCAAAATGTTCAGCCCGATACAATGACCTCTCCATTGTATTATGCTCTAAAAAATGTTTTCAGCTCAGTGGCTCTGCAAGTGCTTAAATCAGACTGACTGTGACAACTGATGTACTGATGAGCCTTTATTTTTCATTAAGACTGCCTGTTCTCATCTTAATTAAGACTTCTAGCAATTATTTTACTCCGTGTTTCTTCACTTATGCTTACACTATCCTCTATGTTATAATTTCACTCTGTGTTTATATTGCTATTTTTTATAACTTTCAAATAAAGATGATGATTACAAACACTATCTGAAAAAGACTCTTTACATTGCACTAAAGATAAAATACAGTAATAACTTTTAGAATATTGTCAGACATATATGTGGTTGAATGTGGTAAGAAAATACAAGAATTCTTGAACTTGACACATATACGTACACTTACGCTCAATCCTCAAAACTACATAATTGGATTTTCTTTTTTGTTGATGTTAATTTTAGCACCAGGTACACAGTGAAATCTCTTATTACAGTTGCATTCTTATTTAACAAAAAAGAGAGCTGTATAAAAAATAATTTAAAAAGTTGTAAATGTGATTTATGAAATTCATATATTGCACACTATTTGCATGATTCTGTACCAGAAACATCCAGAAGAGTTAAAAGACATTAAATATAAGTTATATGCATGTCATTGAATTGCTGGACTTAGATAAGCCACAGTGTTTAATTATTTATGAAGTGCTTTATGCACTTTTTATGAACATACCTTGTATGCAAAGTAAAGCATAAATCTTTATAAAACAAACAACAAGCAATTGTTGTGGTTAGTTTCTTTCCGTCAATCTTGGTTATAGGGGATAAACACTTCTGCTTGAGCAGGGGATCCATGTGGTGCTATGAAACTGCTACTGGTGATATTCAGGAATTTCAGGACTTTTCTCTTTTGGAGAAATACTAATTTAAGAAATGGTAGAGTTCAACTGTATCAGGATTAACTGTGTCAATATGTATTCTATGCTATAGCAA